GGGGGGAGGGAGAGAAGGAAAGAAGGAAATAGAAAAAGAAATAGTGAAAAAATAGAAAGAGAAAAGGGAAGAGAAAGACTACACATATGCACACACACACACACACACACAGAGGAAGGGAGGGAGGGAAAGAGAGAGAAGGAAATAGAAAAAGAAATAGGGTGAAATAAAGAAAAATAGAGAAAAGGAAAGAAAGATGTGTGTGTGTGTGTGTGTGTATGTATGTATACACACACACACACAGAGGGAGGGAGAGAAGGAAAGAAGGAAATTGAGTGAAAGAAAGAAAAAGAGAAAATGAAAGGAAACAGAAAGATTTTACACACACACACACACAAGGAAAGAAAGAAAGGAGGAAAGAATGAAATAGAAAAAGAAATAGAAAAAAAACAAATGGAGAGAAAGAGATATATTTACAGAGAGAGGGGGGGAAAGAAAGAAGGAAAGAAAAAAATAGAAAGAAAAATAGACAGAGAAAAAAATAGAGAGTAAGATACATATACAGAGAGACAGGAAGGAAGAATGAGAGACCACTTTCTTGCAAACTTACCTCCACCATAAACCTCCCCGCCCCCGCCCCCCGTGACCTCGCCTGCCCTCAGCTGTTCCTCCCGGGAAAGAAGGGAGGCGGGGTTGGGGAAGAGAAAGCCGCGCTGACCTTACGACCCGGAAGCACTGCCCGGGCCCTTCCACGCGCCGGCACCTGGCAACCCGCGGGCAGGGCCGAACGATCCCGGCCAGCCCAGCCAGAGCCGACGCCGCCGGTCGAGATGCTTCGCGGGGCGCCCGAAGGCCAGGCTACCGCCGTCACCAGAGCCTTGTCGGCCGGTACGTGCCGCCCCCGCCCGCGGGGCCCCCAGGGCGGGGGACGCCCGGGCCAGGGGGGGGGTGGGGGGGCGACCCTCCGGCTTAGAACCGGGGATGCCCTCCGCGCAGCCTTGGTTCTAGGAGGGCGGAGGGGAAAGGGGTCGGGGGGCCTTCTCGGCAGCGTCGGGTCTTCCGGGTAGGGGGTCCCTGGGGCTGCCCCAGAGATGGCCGGGAGATGCTTCCCTCCTCTCCTTGTCTGCTGTTGAATTCCACCCTGTTGAATGGGGGGGCTCTACAGTTGAGGAAGCCCTGGGCTGGCCTTGCTTGGAGATGGATAGGAGACCAGGGGGAAATCCATTGGGAAGAAGGTGCTGAGCAGCCCTTCCCCACTGATATTATTAATACATTTGTCTGTTTGTCTGCCTTTCTGTCTGGCTACCTACCTAATCAATCAATCTGTCTGTCTGTCTATCTACCTACCTACCTACCTATCTTATCTATCATCTCAATCTGTCACTCTCTCTATCCTCTTATCTATCTATCATCTACCTACCTATCTTATCTAACATCTCAATCTGTCACTATCTCTATCCTCTTATCTATCTATCTATCTATCTATCTATCTATCTATCTATCTATCTAT